CTCTGGCATGGGCTGCCCAGGGAGGTGGTCGAGTCCTCCTCCCTGGAGGTATTTAAAAGAAGGATAGATGAGGGGCTTAGGGACATGGTTTAGTGGTAGGATGGCAGGGTTAGGTAAAAGGTTGGACTCGATGATCTCAAAGGTCTTTTCCAACCAAAGTGATTCTATGATTCTATGTTCTTCCCTTCAAACCTTGTGAAGAAACCTGTTTGCAAATGCACTTATGAAACTCTACAGGTCTGATAAAAAGAATTCAGAGGTAGAGAGAGAGACGCTTCTTAAAGAACCTGCAGAAGCTGTTTGAGTCCTTGTGATAATAACCTTTATTTTACCTAACTGGATAGCATAATTTAAAACAATGAAGGAGCCATTTAGGGCTTATCTCAGCAGGGTAAATTACCTTGCCTTGCAGCTCCATGCTACCACAGATTCACTGCTTCAAGTACCCAAGTTTGTTGGGGTTTTTTTTTGGTTTTTTTTTTTTAAATACAACTTCACCGTGCTGCAGAGTGCAGTGTAGCCATGCCCTCAGAGGATAACTGGAAGAATTGGCTTGTCTTCTCCCTTCAACAAAGCTACAAATAATAGTTGAGACTCCTAGTGATTTAGCTGTATTTAAGTACAAAGAGAACGCTCTCAAAACATCAAAGTGATTAAACCTCATCTCTATGTAACTGGAATGTGACTTAGGGAGGATAGTTTAAGTATAAACTTGAAAATAATTTTACGAAGAAAATTTGGGTGGGATTTCAATGAGATTTTTACCTTGTTAAAATACAAGGTTTGTCAAGCTTGTCACAACAGGCTTGTAACTTCGATGCCATAAGCTGAATACCATTAGCTAGGAGGAACAAAAAGTATTATGCTGGCAATTTGACTAGAAGCCCTATCAACACAATTAAAAAACCTCTGCAAGCACCAGCTAAAGGCAGGTTTAGAACACGTCGGCTGCCCTGGGCCTCAAAACAGGCCTGCAGTAGCTCTCTGGGCACTGTACGTACATGGGACACAACTTGAATGGTTTATAAAAGCCAGGATATTTTTAGATTTATAAGACTGCCACAAAAAAGCGGAAGGAAAAATTTCAACCTTGATCTTTCCAGCATGCTGTTATACAAACACGCCTTCTCGGAGCTATTGGGTTGCAAACTGCTCTCTCTGTAATTAAGCTCACTGACAAGGAGACAAACATTTCTACATTGGTTTCAGTGTCATTTCTCAATCGTTCCAAATTCCAAAATAATTGAAAGCATACCATGGTATCTCCTCAGCTTATTCTGTTCCAGCAGCCCTTTAGCTTTTTTGATCAGTTCTTCTCTAGTTTTTTCCATGTGCCTTCTGTCTGTCTTCATTTGTTGCAATTGTTCTACCATCTTGTTTCCTAAAGATATAATTATATTTAGCAAGCATCTGGATACTGTAAGTAGGAAGGATCAGTCAAGATTTTTGTAATGCACCCATCATAAATCACGCTGAAAGCTCTGTCAGAAGAGGCAGTAGAAATTCTTTTATTTTAATAAACTATCTCTAACTTTTCTAAATGTCTGGTGCATTAGAAAAAAGTTAGAAATCCAGCATGCACCCAACCTCGAACACTCACACACAAGCAAGTAAACTCCCTTCTTTATGCCTAGACAACGTATCACTAAAACTAGATGTTCAAGATATATATACACTGCATATATTGAAAACTTGCCATGTGAAGCCAAAAAAGCCTCTGAAAGACTATTTCCTGCTCAAAACATTTTGCGATATAAACTGTAGCAAAATCTTGCCTTAAACTCCAGCTGGTTATAAGCAGGATAATATCTCAACCTTTCACTCAACTGCAACAACAGGTCAATCACTTATCTTCTCACCATCCTCCTCCTCCACCACCACAGCAAAGGATCTGCAGCAAGGCTACTAGTGGGATTTTTTTGCTACATTCACCCATGACCCAGCAGTATTTCATCCGATCTCCCTCCTCTTCTCCTTCCATCCCCAAGTCCACAAGCTGGGTTTTCTAACACTGGGAACCTGGGATTTTCCACCCACAAGTTAAAATTTGTAACAATACTGTGAATGAATGTATGTACAAATTCCTTCATGAAGTAGGTATTTCTGTCTTCATTAACTATTCAGTCTTGATTAAACGTTCACTTCCCTGCCATTTCTTGGAATCACATACTCACTTTCTGCCGGAATTGCAGGAACTTGATCTGGATTTACAGATAGTGCCAGAAAAGGCGGACTAGGAGGCGAAATATATTCTTTTGGACAAGTAAGATGATTTTGCTTGTTTTCATGTGCCTAGAGAGTCAAAAAGATACAACTACAAGTACATAACTCATAATCCTGAAGACTTACATTAGACATATGCCTTGAAAGCATCCTGAGTGAATAGGAGGGCTGAATTTGAATTCTGCATATAAGCTTTTCTATTCTGTCATCAGTACAAATGATTACTAAATTACAAGCAGCTGGACCTCTGCAAATAAAAATCAGAACGCTGAACTGAATTGCAGAGAACATACGGACAAAACGTAGACTATAGCTAATTGTTCTTGCCCAAGTCCATAACCCCATAAGTTACCAACACTCCCATGGAAGACCAGGAATAACAGACCTTAAAACTGCCACCTGGCTCATTGCTTACGCAGTCTGGACTGCCCATTTCTAACCCAAAATTTGTAACAGCAGATTTTCAATTTCATTATTCTGGTATTGTGACTATATCATACAGATGTTTTAAAGAATTTTATAGTTTTTCTTACCAGAATTTTTGCTCAAGAGAAGACAGATTTATCCCACAGGAAATATGAAATTATAAAAATTTCACCAATAAAACCAAAACAATGTTACTGTCAAGAAACTAAAAAAATTCAGCAAACAATAATACGACTGAGATACATAGTTACTGTTAAATGATAACCAGAGGTATAACTTCTGATGATTTCACTGTTTAGAAAAATAGTTGATTTTTCATTAGAAAATATACAAAATACCAGTGCATGAATTAACTTTTCTTAATTACTCTCAAACCTGTATTTGAATATTTCATATTTCTAATGAGTTATCTGTCTTACAGTGGAGGACTGTGTTTACTGCTCCGGATTACTAGGAATATGTTACCTTGAAAAACACACCTGACTATCCAGTTTTTCACCAGGATCAGCTATAGACTTGACAGTTCTGTACTGCTGTAAGCTAGAGAGAAAAATCAAAGCAACAGGTGAAAATTCATGTAACAAAATGGGTTTTTTCACCATTTTGTTTCATTTATTTTAAGTCTGTAAAATAAATTTCTAGTTATGAGTTAACATTATACATTATTTTATCAGAATCATCATTTACTAACCTTTGGGTTTCTTGTACATATTCTGTGGTTTGGTCTTTCATTGCTTTAGGAATTCCAGAATCCTGTGTTCTGTCTCTTCCTAGTTTGGTAACTTTTTGGTGGTCACTATTTTCCATGTTTGTAATGAGCAATTTGGTGCTTAGTTCTGTAATAGGATAATGATAAAAATATATAGGTTATACTCACAAAATTCAAGCTCAAGTCAATGCCTGGACTTTCCAACCTGTACTAGAAATTCAGTGAATCAATCCAATAAATAATCTTATCTCTAGGGTATGGAAATGTTGTGTGAATAACAGAGGAAAGAAATAAAGGTAAAAAAGGTATTTTTGTTTTGAGAATTTGTATCTAATTCAGTTAGCAAGTACAGGAAAGTTTATCACATAAAAACCATCTAATTATTTCATCTTCCCTAAACTAATGCTGTATCTAACACTTTCTGCCTTTCAGAGACTGAAGATTCCCTACAAACTTGGAGCCAGCAAAGAAAGGGACAGCAAAATGTTTTGCATTTAAAAGTTGATTAATAAATGTTATCTGCTTTAAAATATATACAATAAATATTTCAAGACCAAATTGCTGACAGACATTACCTTTATTTTATACTACAAGATCCTACATCCTTCATCATGTAAAATAAAT